CCACGTCGAGCAGCGTGATGCTGTACAGGTAGCGCAGCAGCGCGGTCGAGTGGCGCTCGACGTGCTGCTTCTTGAAGACGGCCTTGTCGTAGGGCGGCCGCCACGTGCTTTGCTTCCAGTGATACCAATCTGGCCTCAGCGGGGAATAGTCGGCAATGTAGTCTGGATGCACGCGCGGCGCAACCGATCAGTAACACACAGCACAGCACGCCACGCACACGCACACACGCACACCACACACACACACGCACACACACCGCACACACACACGCACACCACACACACACACCGCCGCAGGCAGAAGAGTGTTTGTAGTGAGAGATAAACCTGCAGTGTTGGTGTTGTGCTCATCGAGGAACATAGACACGTCGCCAAAGTAGATGGCATCGTGCTCGACTGTCCAAATGTACAGCTCACTCTCCCTGATATGACGTGCAAAAATAGAGAACATGTACGTCAAGGACACACACACATAATTATATAATATATATATTATATATATAGAGGAATAAAATAAATGATAGTACCTGCTTGGCGGAAGTGGTGGGGTGCGCCAGAGGTCAGGGCGGCAGGTGATGGACCAGAGGAAGAGCGACGCGTCGTGGAACCAAAAGTTGGGCGTCGCGTCCTTCTGGATGTAGGCCGCGGTCGGGAGGAGCGCCTTGACGTCGCTGGCGTTGTAGAGGAACAGGCCCAGCCCGGGGTACTCCCGCTGCAGCTCGTAGTACTCGGCCAGCACCTCATTGTCGGCCGTTAGGTTTGGTGGTGCCTCGGTGCCGATGTCATAGAGGAGCCACAGGTCGTAGTGGGGCGAGGCCCTCAGCTCCCTCGCGTACTTGGCGTACGACGCCCGCAGTCCCTACAACATTTTTAAAATTTTTGTGTTCAAAATTAAACAGGCCGCCAATCAGCGATCGCAAGTAAAGCAAGCACACGAAAGGGTCCCGGGTCGGAGAGATCCAAAGGTTGGTGGAGGGGGGGGGGCGTACGGGGGGTGAGGGGGGCCGCAGGTGCGGATGACGAGCACCTGGCGAAGGGCCGGGTCCAACCGGCACGAAGAGGTGCGGGCCTGGTCGAGCGGATAGGCGGCCGAGGCGTGCACCACCCGCCTTTGGCCCGCGGTGGCGGCGGTGAGGGAGCGAGCGAAGGAGCTGAACTCTTCTTCTTCTTCTCTGCCGCAGGTGCGGGAGTAGTCCCGCAAGAAGAAAAATCGGAGCAGATGAAGAGGACGCCCAGCGTGAGCCCTACGCTCAGCGCCAACCATTTTGCCTTGGCTCTTGTTGTGTTGACGCGTCCATCTGTGTTGTGTTGTCGCTCTCCTTCTTCTTCCTTCTTCCTTCTTGTTGTTGGGTCCTGTCACTGTGCCCAGGAAGGGCTTTCGTAAGCACACGCACCGGGTAACAAAAAAGATATGGCCTGGCAGGTGTCATTCGAGAGCCAAGAATGACTGGAATTGGTTGGGGGTGCCAAGGCCTGATGTGTGTGTGTGTGTGTTGGCGTAAGACCGCCGTGTAAACACGACTTGTGAAGTAGCGGAGCGGAGGGGGTGGGGGGTAGTGTACCAAGCCCCTTGGCCGAAGATCGCAGGTTGTGAAGCCGCTTGTCGAGCGTCGAGAACAGTCGCCAGGAGTTACCCTGCAGCGAGTTGTGCAATGTGTCGTCGTGTGTGTGTGAGTGGTGAGTGTTGGTTACCGATGGGCATGTGTTGTTGAGCCCAACGGTGCTTGGTTGGTTGCGAACCTGCCGTGCAACGAATCGTGGTCGGGCCTGCGGAGCGGAAGTCGGGCCTTGAACGGGCGGAGTCATGAGGGTGAGCAGCCCGCCTACAATAAATCAAAACGTGGTGTGAATGCGTTTTCTTGAACGAGCGACCAGCCGTTGTGGGGTGTGTATGTATACCGGGCTTCTCGCTGACGGTCTGCCCTGCCTCCGCTGTGAGACAGGGATAAAAGGACTCGACAATCTTGTCCAGCGACAGCTTGTCGTGTGTCTGCGGGTCTCAGGTAAGTGTACGCACACACCACAATAACGAGACGGCAATAACAACGTACGAGCGAGAGCTGGAGGTCGATGGCCAGTTGTGCGTCGGAGGTCTGGCACCTGATGGGCTGGGCAAAGTACAGCGGTAAGGCCTGCGCTTTGCGCAGGGGCGACCCCTCGAGCGTGTCCGGCTGTTCATCTACCGAGTC